TCTTCTCTATTTATTCCGAGCATCGCGCCCTCAATAGTGCGATGACCACAATTCAAATGTCCCATATATTCACGACAAGTATGGCAGACGCGTTCATCCGCCAAAGTATAAATACTCTCCAACAAATCATGGCTATTCAATGGGGACACATAACGATTCGCACCTAATCGTGAAGCACTGGCTCCGGCAAATGCTTGGGATTGAAAAGCTAATTATGGCAATGCCCAAGGCTAAGCGTCTACATATAGATGGGAAAACAAAGGGTTGTGGTTCAAGGAAACTACAGCGCGGCCCCAGGGTCTCCCACTTGCAGCTGCCTACACGTGGCGGGCCTTGTGTGCCCGGTAAGGGGTAGCCGAATGCTGCATTTGCTTGTGTCGCTTGGTATCGTCTTTGTGTTTCTCTCTTGGGGCTTACTCCCTGAGGAGAAGTTATGTAGAAATCGCGTTAGTTCTGCAAGTGGGGGGCGTAGTTTGCTCCAGTATCGAATGGCATCCTCGACCGGTGTGCGCTTCGCTGTAAGAACAGCTCCGTGGGAAAGCAAAGGCCAATCTAAGGGCTTAGAACTTGCTGCGGTGTCAGAGTTACAGTTGGCCACAGGACATTCGATTGAAGCATTGTCATCAGTCAGCGCCGATCAGATTCATGAGGCTGTGTCAGGATGGTGCTTCGCGAATTTCAACACCGCCAAGAGCGTGCTAGAACTTCGGACTTCGTCGACTTTTGTGCTCATCCTCAAAGGGTTCATCGCAGATAGGCTTGAGTCCATGGGATGTGAGAAGGCGCGGGTGTCACAAATCGTTCTTTCGGTCCATGACCACAGGCAATGCAAATCAGAACCGCGTGCCGTGACGCTTCTGAATCTGTCATTCGATGAGATGGACTTTGTGGGGCTGTGCACGGGAGACTCAGCTATTGAGATGACTCCGACAGATACCATTCCCATTTTGGCCGAGATACGGCAATCGGACACTGAGCCAGAAGCATGGGCCACATATGGTACAGTCGCATCCTTTGACACGTACATCGCCACCATCCTTCAATCTATTGGAGTTACCAACAGCTCAGTGGCGCATAAAACAGTGGAGAAGCAGGGCTATTTCTGCAAACGGATTCAGGTGCCTCGTGTCTGTCGTGACGCGCTGTACATGAGGAGCGGGTTTTTCGGCATTCAGTTCAAGCCGTTGCGCCATCCCAACGATCCTTTGGAGGAAGGATTGGAGGTCATTAGAGCCGAGGGCAACAACTCCCTCATGAGTGTGGCCAAGCAGCTTGAGTCGACTACGGGCTTCCTGGGTTGCTTCTCCTCAATGGGCACAGTTTATGTGCGAGCCAAAGATGACGACATTGCAACCATTCGCAAGGTGCTTTTCCCCGACTCTACACGTTTCAACGCAGAGAATTGGGGAATGAAAGCCAAGTTTCGCTACAAGGTCATGGGCTTTCCAGCTGGCATTACGCCAGTCAAAGCCTTCCAGACGCTTCAGGACATGGGGTGGATTGTCATTCCGGGACTTGTTGTTCATGCTAGTGAGCTGGCTACCGTCTACGTCTCGGCGGATGAACGGCCGCCCCACACAAAGTTTCATACAACCCAAGGCATCATCCAAATTTCGGAGGCTGAGAGAGCGGCCCGTCAGAAAGTGCAGATACGCCCAGTCAAAGCGCCAGAGTCGGACACGTCTGGGGTAGCTTCGTCCAGATCTTCGTCAACGACCGATCCGTGGTCCAAATGGGATCCTTGGAAGGGTGCTAAGTCCCAGGAGGTTAGCAGCCCGACAGTGCAGCCGTGTTCTCTCCAATCTAGGGTGGTCGAGCTTGAGAAGAAAATGCAGGGTGTCCATCAAAGCATCGGGAAGTTGCAGGATGAACAGGCATTGACTCGAACGAAGTTGGACCACATGGCTGAAAAGAATTCGTCGGGGTTTGCTACCTTGATGGAAATGATTTCGGAGCTGAAGGAGATGCAAGGCGGCTCGTCGCGACAGAGTACCCCTGTCCGCAGTCCTCCTTTCAAAGCCGCGCGTAGTGAGTAGCATCAAAGGGTGGAAGCAATAGATCCGTCTGGTCCCCGGGTCGTGGTACCCTTCTACTTAGAACTCTTCATGGCGGTTTTTCCACCCTTTGTAACCTGATGCTAGTGATAGTAAGATGGGCGTTGTTCATCTATAGAGGTGTGATTTACTCCTTGCTGGTGTCTTTTTTGTGTTGGTTTTGTTGGGTGTGGTTCTTCGGCAAAGTCCGCTCTCGTGCGTGCCGTAGGCATAGAGCTTAGTGCCGTGTGTATTGCTTGGCTGTTCTCTTTAGTTTCGCTGTGGGCGCCCATACAATTCATGCTCCGCAGGTCACATGTGCTGATAAGCGACCCTTGCGACTTTTGCCACTGAAAACTCCTGTGGTTGTCGCGTGGCCTGTGTGTGAGAATGGCTTGCATGTTTGGCTGACGCATTCGTTGCTATATGTTGGTACTTCACGTGCCTGTTTATCGTATTTGTCGTCAGCCAGCTCCGTCTCTCGTAGATGTTGCACGAAGGATCGATGTGTACATATGCCTCCTGATGTCTCTTTCTCTTGCTTCTCTTACTCTTGCTCTCTGTGTTTACCTCCTCTCTTTGACATCTTCTCCCCTTGTTTAGGTTACCCTGGGGAAGGACCCTTTAACATCCTCTCCATTAATGTTACGTCATGCCCCAAGCATTGGCAAGACCTTGTTGACATTCAAACTTTTCTCAATCTAGCCGACCCCATCGCCGCAGTATGTTTGCAGGAGTCTCGTATTCCACCGTCCAAGGTCAAGTCTTTACAAACCACTTTCTCTGACCATGGATGGTGCCTGCACGTTGGATACCAGCCTCCTGTAGTCCCAATTAGAACCCAGACGAAAGCAATTCGACAACAGCATGGTGGAATCGCCATACTGACGCCAAAAGATGTGAGTGTTCGGACCGTGGAATTTAGTTCTGAGTGGTTGTCACTTCTCCCTTTCTGTCAGGTTATGTGGTATCCCCATGGCAGTGGTAGTAGTGGGTTTTACATCTTCAACTTGTACTTGCCTGCGCATGATTCTGCACGAGGGTTAAGGCGCGAAATCATGGAGAAAGCGTTTCAATTCGCTGCCACCTTGTCAGGCCCTGTTTGTATGTGTGGAGATTTCCAAGATCCCCCAGAGTGCAACGCAGCAGTCGCAGAAGCTATCTTTAAGGGTGGCTGGACCGATGCGTTGTTTGAGGTTGCGGCTATGTTCGGTAAAACTCCTGATTTCACCTATTCTGCTAGGAAAGATGGGTGGAGAGACCGTAACCCCAAAGGCAAAACTAGGATTGACTTGTGGCTCCTGAGTCCGTCTTTCCTCCCTCTGTTGAAGAATGGTGGTGTTCACTACAATGCCCCATTTCCTGGTCATGCAGTAGTTTCCCTCAATGTGGACGCTGGCATGTTTCAAGCGCAGGCCTTCACCCTGAGTCCTCATAAGAAGTGGGATTTGCCCCCAATCCCTAAAGACCAAGAGCAATGGGATGAACGGGATTCTCAGTGTATCCCCATCTTGATGTCCTGCATGGCTTCACTCACACAGGCGATTGAGGATCTGGACGTAGAAAGAGTTTGGAGCATTGCATGTCAAATTGCCACTGATATGCTTAACCATGTCACACAACAGAACGTGCCACCTACGCGAGGCTCAACCCCAAAGTTTAAGCTCAAAAAGCCCTTCGTGTCCCATGTTAATCCTCATGCCCCAGCTGCCCGTACTTCAAAAGCTAAACGTGTGATCCAGGAGGCCTTGGTACAATCGTCTAGACACCGGGATGGTTTAGCGATAGATCTTGTCACTTTCCAAAACACTATTGGCAATCTGCGCCGTTTGATCATCAGCCTGGGGTGTCCTGACATAGCGTTTCCTCCTGCTGTGGGCACAGTTGAAATGGAGGATTGGCTCAACTCGCTGAGTAGCTTTTGTTCCGATTTCAACTCCAAAATCAGTAGGAAGGTTGATGCTGAAAGGTTGAGGAAATGGAAAGAACGCATGAAGGTAAGTTCTGCAGCTGATAGAAAATTAGTGCATTCCTGGATCAAGGACCAACAGTCTTGCACCCCCAAATGTTTTAGGAGGTCCGATGGTTCCATCACAGCATGCCCTCAAGAAATGCTTGACATGGTTACCTCGCGAATGGAAGAAATCTACAACACGCATAAGGGTAGGGATGTTCGCGGGATGATTGAGCATTTTCTCTTGAAGTACGCTCCAAGCATTGAAGCAAGGCGCTGTGCAGTTGAATGCCCCAAATTTGATCATCGCGATGTGTTCAAACTTTTCCAAAAGCGCCCATCCTGTAAAGCCGCCGGCCTGGACGGCTGGCTCACGATTGAACTTAAGCATTTACCCCCTAGTGGGTGGTGGGCCTTCACAGCTGTTATGAAGCTGGCTGAGGCGACGGGGCAGTGGCCGAGGGTTATTAAACTTGTCTCTGTTGCCACTATCAGTAAGGGGCAAGGCACGTATGATCCCACCCTCACGCGTGCCATAGGGATTTCTTCTGCAGTGTATTCTGTATGGTCGTCCTTGCGATTTAGGCAGCTTACCCCGTGGCATCTAAAGATTGCACCAGCTTCGCTGTATGGAGGTTTGAAGAATCGTAAGGCGTTGGATTCAGAGCTTGACTTCTCCACGGACATGCATGAGCATGAGGACACTATGTGTGCTGTGTTTGTTGATAGATATAAGTGTTTCGACTTAATCATTCCTGAAGTCGCGCTCAAAATTGCTCTTGAGCTAGGTCTCCCCCCTTCAATTTACAATGCCGCTTTAGGGTTTTACGCCAATCAGATCAAGTTCTTCAAAATTGGGCAGTTCTATGGAAGGAAGGTCATGTCGACAAATGCGGCAGTCCAAGGGTGTTCTTTATCAATCCTTATGGTGAACAGTATGTACTCAGTTCTTGCTCAGCATCTAGCCGACGTGTCGCCGGACAGCAGGTTCACCTCGTTTATTGATGATTGTAAAATTTGGACCGTTCAGACCGACACGGATCAGTTGAAGCTAGCTTTTGAAGCCCTCAGCAGCTTCGATGATGCTATCGGGCAACAAATTAACGAAACAAAGTCCACTGTGTTATCCAAATTTCAGAAGAAGGCGGCACGCTTCTTGAGAGACGTGGGTCGGCAGTTTCCCTCAAAAAAGACTGTGAAATCTCTTGGTTGCTCACACACGGTTGGCAAGAAGCGGTGCGCCATATTCCAAGATCAGCGGGTTCACAAAGCAATCCGCACTGCAAGTAGAGTTTCCCACCTTCCATTACCTGAGAAGCAGAAGATCTTGCATACCCACTCTAATGTGCATTCCCAGTGGCTTTACGGAAGTGAACTGCAAGCCCCATCCAAACGTATGTTTCAAAGATTGCGGACAGCAGTAGTTGGCATATTCCATAAGAGGTCAAACTGCATGCGGTGCCCTTTTCATTTCCTGGCCACTTTTGGTGATATTTATGTAGACCCGTGGGCTGCTTGGGTTCTTCATAATCTGAATTGGGTCCGGTCTGAGTATTGGCGGGATCGTGACAGACTACGATCAGATCTGGTAAGGGTTCGTAGTCTGATGCGTGACAGGCCCCCAAATTTGCCATTTCCGCTCACCTCAGGAGGGAGAGTAAATAACTTGTGCCACATTTTCCACCAACTTGGATGGAGAGTTGCCAGCCACGATGAGTTCGTTGTCATACGCCAAAATGACGTGGACTTAAACTTGGTGATGGGCTCCCGGCACGAGTTCCAACAGGAACTTGCCAGATCCATACGCGCCTGGCTACTCCGACAGGCCCCAGATCGACAAGACTTTCGTCCGAAAGGACACACTTCACATGTTGACATTTATCGCACTCGATATTTGCTTGATTCCAGCTTTGCCGACAGGAACGACATGAAAATCCTCGAATCAATATTTGCTGAATTGCCACAGCCTTTTGAGCGAACACGTGCAATTTTACGCTCGCTTTTGTCGGGTTCAGTCTTCACAGGTCGCAGACTTCGGGCGGCTGGCAAAACGGAGTCTGACAAATGCAAGGCGTGTGGTCGGCCCGAAGATCACGATCATTTGTTTCGAAGTTGTCCGCGCATTGTGGCCAGTAAACCTTCTGGACCAGCTTTCGACACACTTCCTCATGATACGTGGTGCTCGGGAATTATGTTCGAGTCCCCTCAGATTGGGAATTGGCGGCGCCGGAAGGCTTCACAGCAAATAGACCTCGCGGATGACGCTCAGTTAAACATTGAAGCAGACTTTGCCTTCGTGGATGGCTCTTGCTTCTTTTCCAAATGGGCTCCCATTTCTTCGGCAGCTTCAGCTGTTGTCTTCCCAAATGGCACTACAGTAGTTCGGGAGGTTCCCGGACTTTACGCATCTTCACAGAGGGCAGAGATCTGGGCGCTGGCGATAGCCATTCATCACAGTGTCGGTCCCATTAAAGTTGGTAGTGATTGTCAGGGTGTCGTAAATACTTTTTTGTGGTTAGACGCCAACGCTTGGAATTACGATTTGCTAAGTAAGGTCGATAACGCTGACTTGTGGAGTGTAGTCTCAGCTCAGATGGCTAGGCGTACTGGTCTGGTCACCGTGTTTAAAGTTAAGGCCCATGTGTCTACAGACTACAAACACCAGCCAGCGTTGTGGACTGATTTGAATGCTAAAGCAGACGCTGCTGCTAAGCAAGCAGCGCGCGCAAAGTATGAAGCTGCCTGTAAGCAGTTTGAACCTGAACTGGTTGATGGCGTTGTTTTGCATGTTCATCTTGTTAAAGTGTTGTTCGACAGGTTTCAGCAATTCGCAGCTGAGATTTCAAATGATGCTCCCATGCAAAGAACAAGCCCTGGTAGTTCGCAGCGTAGACGTATCTGGGGTAAGCAAAGTGTTTCATGTCCCACTAGTTCTAAGCCGTCTTTTCATGAAGACAGCCTTAAAAGTTTCGTCAACCTGTTTAAGCAAGGCTTGCCGATTGACGGAGGTGTTTGGGACGACGTCATGAGGGCTTATCCCAGATACGCT